CGCGGCCCGCAGACGCACTTCGCCTTGACGCCGACGTTCACGCCGACGAAGGAGGTTCGATTTGCGTTCACCACAATCGGCTGCGGCAGAATCTCGAGGACGTTGGTGCAGCTGGCCGACTCGCAGTTCAGATTCTCCACCAGGCACTCGTCGATGCCGACCATGGTGATGTTGATGCCCACCTGGTGCTCAATCACCTTCCGGTTGAGGGTGACGGCGCCGTCGAGGAAGACCGACTTCAGGTAGGGGGAGCCGTGGGCGGCGAAGCGAATGTCCGTGACGGGGGGCCGCTCCGAGCGGGTGATCAGACTGAAGACGTCCACCTTCTCGCGGTCCACCTTGAGGATGCGCGAGAGGACGTCCTTGAACTTCTCGTACATGCTCTTCTCCTGCTTGTTCCGCAGGGGGAACCACACGCGGATAAAGTCCTCCGCGGTGATGCCCGCCACGCGGATCGAGCCCGAGTTGTAGACCGCCTCCTCGGGCAGCTCCCGCACCGTTACCGTCACATTACTGACCACATTCTGCGTGTGCTTCTGGTCGAGGACGGTGAAGCGGAGGTGGTACTCCCCGTTGGTCACATTCTTCATCGTCAGCATGCCGTCCTCGGTGTTCAGGTCAAAGAGCGGGTGGGCCATGCTATTTTCCCAGAAGAAGCTCTTGTCCGGCAGGTCCCAGTCGTCGAGGTCCTCCACGTGGACGCGACCAATGGGCGTGGGCGGCGACTGGCCGCGGTAGTTGTACACGAAGATGTTCTTCGCGCCCGGGTACATCCGATTGTCGTTGGCGTCGCCGATGATCACCGTCAGCGTGCTGGTGCCCGACTTGGCGGGGTAGCCGGCGTCGCGGATGACAATCGGCACCAGGTACTCCTTCTGCACCTCGCGGTCAAACTCCTTCTTCGAGCTGACGATGGCCATGCCGTCGCCGTTGGCGCCCTTCACGTCCTGCTGCACGTCGAAGAACTCCTTGATGAAGTCGGGGGCGTCCTTGGAGAGGCGGAAGGTAAAGGGGGGGCCGTTGCCCTTGCTGCGGTCGTCGTCGTCGGTGGCCAGGATCTCCTCCACCTTCGTGGGCGGGTAGTTTTCCATGATCACCGGGCGGTACGGTTTGAGGAAGCGGGGGGCGTTGTCGTTGATGTCCGCCACGACGACGGTGAGCGTGGCGGTGGAGGTGCGCGAGGGAATGCCGTCGTCGACGGCGAGGATCTTCACCTGGTGGCGGGGCGTCTCCTCGCGGTCGAGCATTCGCTGAATTTTGACGGTGCCGTCCTGGGCGATGGTAAACTGCCGCTTCTTGTCGGAGGAGCGNAATCTTCACCTGGTGGCGGGGCGTCTCCTCGCGGTCGAGCATTCGCTGAATCTTCACGGTGCCGTCCTGGGCGATGGTAAACTGCCGCTTCTTGTCGGAGGAGCGGTCAATGGCGTAGCTGACGCGGGAGAGGCCGCCGCGGTCGGCGTCCCGCGCCTTGAAGGTGGCCAGCGTCGTGCCCACCTTCGAGTCCTCCTGGACGGTCACCTCGATGTTGGGCTTCTCGAATTCAGGCTAAAGAAATCGAGGTAGAAAAGTTAAAATGCTATACAAGACCACAAACACACTGTGATATTACCTTATTATCGTTGATGTCCCTCAGCCGCACGTTCACCTTCGCGTAGTCCAGGTGGAAGGGGTCGCTGGTGCTCTCGCCATTGTCGCTCACCTGAATGGTAATATTGAAGCCGTACCGCTGCGCCGGATCTTCATAGTCCAGCGGCTTGGCCACCTTCAGCGAACCGGTTCCGTCGGAGTTGGTGACCATGGTGAACTTGTCCGCGCCGGGGCTGGTCTCGATGACCTTGTAGCTGAAGCGATTCGTCTCCAGCAGGTCCTGGTCGTTGACGGAGACGACGAGGATCGGCGTCTCCGGCAGCAGGTCGCCCTCCGTCTCGTCCACCTCGACGTTCCACTCCTTCTTGGTGAACTCCGGTTTCTGGTCGTTGATGTCCTTGATCTTGATAGTGGCCGTCCCGGTGCCCTTCAGCCCGCCGCCATCAGTGGCCACCACCTTGATCGTATACTCTGGATTCTGCTCTCGGTCGAGGCAGCAGACCAGCGTGCTGATCGTGCCCGTGTCCTCGTCAATCTTGAAGATCAGCTGGCCGTGCTCGTTCACCTGGTTCTGCTCAATGGCGTACTTCAGCTTGGCGTTGCTGCCCTCCGCCGGGTCGTCGTAGTCGATGGCGGACATCGTCATGACGGTCATGTCGGCGGTGCCGTTCTCGGTGACGTTGCCCTCGTAGCGCGGTTGCGGGAAGAAGGGCGCCTGGGAAAAAGGGCAAAAGTTTTTAAAAAGATGTTCTAAAAGTAAAAAACCTTTTCTACTTACATTATCGTTAATATCTCTCAGGTTGACCAGCACATCAGCGTAACCGACCAGGCCATTGCCGCCCTCGTCCTCGGCAAAAACGGTAAACCGCCACTGAGAGCGTCCGGTGGGCAGATCTCGATCGAGCGGCTTCCGCACGTAAATCTCGCCCGTCGTCGAGTTGATGCTGAACTTGCTGTTCTGCGCATTCTTGTCGTCGATGCCCTGGCCGGTGAGGAAGTAGACGATCTCCTGCGGGCGGTCTCGATCGCCGTCGGTGGCGGTGACCTGAGGTGGGGGTGAAAAAAAGGGGTTTAGCAAGGGAACGATTGCTGGAGTTACCCTGTGGAGCACTCTCGGAGTCGCAATCACTCTCATTCGTTTGGGGAGTTAGTGTGTTAAGTAGTGACAAAAATTGTTAGTGGTGAAGAAGCAATGAGGTAATGAAGTTCCAAACAAAACAAGTAGTGTACCTGAAGAATGGTCTTGGGCAGGTGGCGGTCGTCCTCTTCGTAAATGGTCGTCTCGTAGGAGCTCTGCTCAAACTTGGGCGGCAGGTCGTTCACGTCCTTGACGATGATCAGCACCTGGGTGCTGTTCTCAAAGAGGGTGTCAGAGACGACTACGGTCAGGTTGTACTACGGGGGAGTTGGGGGCATTTGTCGAAAACATTCCAGAGGGGAAAGGGCAAAAGGGTAAAAGGGATGTAAATTAGCAAGTGCAACTACAAAACAAAAAGGGAAAGACGAGAAAAGAAGAAGAAGGTAGAAAAGAAGTGTTTGTGTGCAATTTGCGTTGTTGGGCAGTTCAGTTCAAACGGGTCAACTCTCTTAAAACTCACTCACTCTCACCGATCTCACATAAACACCACAAAAACATCACCTGAAGAACTCGTTTGGGCAGAAGTCGA